CCCCAAAACCCCAAAACCCCAAAACCCCAAGAAAAAATGATATTGAAAATGAGAAATGCATTATAATTTATAAAATGATATAATAATTGCAAGCGGATGTGGAAGACTTGAGGAAGCCCACAGCAAGATGCTTCAAGGGATTTTCAATTTTACTATTTATTTGGGGTTCAGCCAGTCTTTTAATTTGTGGGCTAGTGCCAGCTATTATTTTTGCTCACTTAGATTAGCCTCACGAAGCTTCAAACCTAAGTATGGTTGCTCCAAAAACCTTGAATGAATTTGAACCATCTGAAAATAGCAATAAAAATACTTATAACCCAGAGAGCAATAATAATGATAAGACAAAAACTAGTGATTCAACTGAAGATCTGGATATTCACATTGAGCCGAAATAAGAAAGTAATAGCCTTGCAGATTTTAATTAAACAAAATCCGTTCAGCCTGAAATGAATAATGAAGTAAGTGATACAACCGACCAAACTCAGAATAATGACGCAATTAAAGTTGAGAACTATGAAGATAATTAAAACTTTTCAAATTAAGCATCAAATTAAACAATTGAAACTCTTTATAAACCAGATTCTGAACTCTTGCCAGAACATCTTGTGGTCACTGATGAAACATTGATTCAGGAAGAAGGTGTTAGATACAGATTCACTCGTCTCTCAGCTGATGTATAATCAGACGATGAAGTAAGAGAAAAAGCTGACATATTGAAATGGGCATGCTTGGGTGTTGGACTTGGACTTTACCTGCTTGCAATCATTTTCTTTGTGTTTTTCCTAAGATACAAACAGAAAGAGGAGGTACTTGCCTAAGTCTAGTCTAACGAGATAGTTAGAGAGGTGCAGTACAACAATGTATCTCAATGATGAGGATCAAATAGTTTTATCAGCATTGATAGTGCTGATGATATCAGTAATATTTTATTATAAAATTTTACAGTTTAATCCTATAATTTTACGCAAAGCCTTATTAATTTAACATTTATTATTCTTAATGGCCGATCTTCTCATAGCTCATGCTAATGATGACTCAAATCTATACATGCTTCCTAGTGACTGCTAGTACGACGACTAAAATGATGCTGAAGAAGATGAGGATTTAGAATAATTTGATCCTAAAGAAGATGATTACGATTCAGATGTTTATATATTCAATTACGAGGACAAAGCACTAGAGTAATATAAGGGTATTCATCCAGGAAATAACGAAGATGCTGGAGGTTCTGGTGGTCTTAAGTATTCCTGCCCAGAGACAGGCGCTCATTTTGAAATTAGGGATATTTCTAAAAGACTTTAATACGTTCAAAAACTAAGGGCTTGTCTGGATGAAGCTTGGGGTTTAAACTAAGCTAAAAACTAAGAAACTGCAAGTCAACCAAAAAATGCAAAAGCCTAGCTCAACTAAACTGGTTCGCAAAACAGATCTGACTCAAATAAATCCAAAAATCTTTCAAAGTATCTTAGCTAGGAACCATAGAATGTAAGTTATTTTAAGTGGATAAATTCCGAGTAACAATTTATAGATGAATGCTTAGAAGTATAGTGAAAGCCGGAATTCAATGATGAAGAATCTTGAAAACATCAAGTCAACTACTGGTGGAACGCAATCTCAAATGCATAGAGATTAAATATCAGCTGAAAAACCTCAGCAAATAATCAATCAAAATATAATCATAAATTACTATAGTAACAACCCTGAAGCCATTAATAACCTTGCTTAGTCAAGAGATAACTAACAGCTAAATCTTTCAAAATAGTAGAAACTATCATAAAATTAGAAAATTGATAAATTAGTTAGACCACTTAGTAACGGATCAGGAAGATCAGGCAAATAAAAATTGCAAGTCTACTCTTAAAACCAATAGTCTTTCAAGCAAAGCTACATGGAGGATGGATCAAGAAACATGGAGATTGGCTCTAAATTGTAAAATTACTTAGGTTATTTATTTTTTAATGCAGGGATGATATTTAATAACTATACATGAGTTCTTATAATCAAACAAAAGGATCAACAAATAATAGAGTAAACATCAAACAGTAAAATCCCATGAATGGCATCATTAGTCAGAGGAAGAGTGCAGCTATGCCAGGCATCAACCTAAATGGGAGAGACTCATCATCAAATACCAAATCCCCTACAATGAATCTTTCTTAATTCAAGGGTGAATCCCCTAACTAAAAGCTCATGGTAGGATTGCTGCTTTAATAAATTTAACTATAGAATAAACTTAAACAGTCAAATGATTATCAAAAGAGCTATAATATGTATGACTTAAAAATGAGTGGCTAAAAGGATCTTAAAAACATGACTGGTCTCAATTCATCAAATTAATTTAGAACAGTAGATAACAGAAAGTATGTTGTCAATAATTAAAATAACAGAATGACTAAAAATTTTGATATTCAGTTGATTGGTGGAAATATAGAGCCATCTAATGTACATGATTTCATCATTGCAAATAATGCATAACTGAATCATATGAAAAATCTGACTAAAAATTAGCCTAATGGAATCACTAGAAATATGAATACTTCTTTTGACGAGGCATTTTCATCAGCCTCTCAAGTAAATAAGCACAAAAGGCATTCATCTATAGGTACATCTTTCCAAGGTACAAATTACACTAATGGAAACACATCAAGTCTAGGAATTGCTTTCTAAGGCAACATATTGATGAAAGCGCAGCATGTAAAGAATAATGCTGTCGCAGTATTAAACAATAACAGCAACAACATAGGATAAAACTTAGTAAATGAAAATGAATTGTATGTGACTAATACTAGCAGCAAAAAGAGCAAAATGCAGCAGGTATTGAGTCAAGTAGCAAATTATAATAGAAGCACAAGAAATCAAGAAATAAATGATTATGGCGTTACATCTAAATCTGCTATGGGCTCAACAAAGCATCAAAGATAGCAATCAGATGTTTTACCCTTAAAAAGTAAGTTTCTAATTTAGATAATACCTTTAGAAAATCCATACTCAATGCAAGAAAAAATGGGATATGGTCCAATGAAGATTAATCATCCTCAGACTAATATAAGTTCTTTTAATGCATAATCTAATCCTAGCAACTAATATTAACTTGGAAGTGTCCCTATGTAGATTGGTTCAGGGTAATCAAGATAAAACGCTCAAATTAGACCTCCTAACAATAGTACTGCAAGAAGAACAACTAATTAGTATAATAGTAATAATATGAATAAGTATTGAAAAATCTCCACATCAAACTCCTATAATATGAATATGAAAAAATAATTATCCTATCCTTAAACTTTTCCATATTTGAATTTATTAACTCATCATCAAATTCGCTTGAGGGGTTTTGG